TTCCTGCTGCCAAACCCAGCCATAATAAATGCCAGGTGGACAGCCAGATTCTCTGCATGTAACTCAGTTACATGATACTTGAACTCCATGAGCAGCAGAGGAATATTCATAAGCCCAGAAACATACTGGCACTAAGAAAACCAAGACCTGTGCAGAGAAACTGGGAAAGTGTCCCCTGAGCAAAGATTTCCTTTCCTTGCAGGTTCATTACATAAGAATTACATGGTGGGGAATAAAGATAGTTACTTTGACTTAGCCATTGTGGAATTATGGTCCAGGAGGCTAGACCAAGGACCAAGTGGCCAGGTGTGACAGGACTAATGGTTCTTTTTGTTCTTTTTTTAAGAACCAAATGCAGGACGTTGTGCTTGCCAGGCAGATGCTGTGTAATGGTTCTGTAGAAGGAGAGTTTATCTATTATTACATGAATGGGCCCTCTCTTTGAGGAACTGGGCAAGAGGACAAGTGTGGTACATTGTAACTTAAAGTGTGCAGATCACTGAGGTTTTTGTTCTTTCCTTTCCCAAGTCTAATTCATTATAAAGTCCCATGACTAATTTACAGATGTGTCATAGCTCTGAATTGTTTGCTTATATGTTTTAATCTTATCTTTCCAGCAGTACAGTAGTAGTTATTGGTTGGCTCTACTCCTATTGGTCTGCTCCTCTCCATCCTGTGTAGGATCTCAAGATCTTTAAGAAACACAGAAAGGATGATGTCATGATCCATCAGCTCCACAGAATCCAACCTAGCTCTCCTGCTCCACTTCCCCTGCCCTGTTCTCCACCTTTGCCCCTGTTTGCCTGCTGGTAGCTTCTCTCACCTCCCTACTTCTGATTCTCACCTCCCTACTTCTGATTCTCCTAAACAAGCCCCTATTGGGAAGCCCAGACCAAATGTCTCCTCCTCTGTGGGACCTTCTCAGTCTTCCCCCAATCCATCCAGCAGAATGAGCCTTCTTAGCCATCCCTGGAGTACCCTAGACCACTGTGCTTTGCATACTAGGTTTCTGGGTCTGATGCTGCTGAGGGAGTTCATAGTTAGTTTATCTCTGCAGGGCTACCTCCCAGTATGGCAGCAGGCACATAGTAGCAATTGAGTAAGTGTGTGTTGATTAGCTGGTAAGAGACAGAACTGGGAGGGAGGTCAAGGAGGTCCACTGAAGGGCAGTATTGAGAGCATGGCATAGCTTGTGTTTTTTATACATGTGAGTTCACAGTTCTGGCTGCAATCTTGATCAAAGACAGTGCAGGCCTTCTCTCTCCCTGCACTCAGACCTTACTGTATGTCAGAGAAACACACTAGACTTGCATATAACATGAGTACCTGCTTCTGGGTCCAGCGCTTTGCCCCATCAGTTCCCTGATGAACAAATCTCTGATTTGTTTGCAGTTTTAATAAATGTAGTTACAGATACCTTGAAAAGCCACTATCTTACCCTCCACGCTCACCCCAGCTATTTTACCCAACTCTGGGGTCCCCAGTGTCACTTCTTTGTCCCTAAGCCTCATTCAACTTGAAGCTTGGTTTGCAGAAGTCAAATGTGTGCCCTTGCTGCTCTGCTGCACTGCTGTGCTTCTCTGTTAAGTGTTGGCGCCACACCCACTACGTGGGCACTAGTTTTTGGTTGCTTCCTCCATTCAAGGCTTCATCCTGTCATCAAACTGCTGGATGACATGATTTGTAATTTTACTCTATGGGGTCTTAGTCTAGTGGGAAAAAATACTTAAAAATGGAGTTATTTTAAGATAGGGAAAATTGCCATGGAAACACAAAGGGGTGCCTGGCAAATGAGAAGTCCAGGAAACCTTCCAGGAGGAGGCAGCACTGGGGCTGAATCTTGACAAATAAATGAACATCCTCAGGGCAGAGAAGAGCATTCTAGGAAGAGGAAACAGCAGAAGTAATGGCCCGAGGGTGGGAAAAGGCTGGCGGGGTCTAAGAAGTTGTGGCTTGGCAGGGCTCAAGCTGCCGGCTCTTCACGGCAGTGGGAGGGAGATTCCTGTCTCCGAAGGGCTTTCTCCCGAGCCCTGGCCCTGTGGAACTGCAGGGGCCTCAGGCCTCCCTGTGCCCGGCATGCTCTCCCACGGCTGAGCGAAGTTCCTGGGGCTGGGGCTGTTGGCAGTCCCACCTGCTCCGGCGGGTGGCATCCCAGAAGGAAAGAGGCAGGGGAGGAAGCAGATAAGAAAGACAGCTTCTGTTTAGACACAAATATCTTGGTAATCAGCACAGATGGGATGAGAAATACCAAAAAAAGTACATGACAGTTTAGAGAGAATTTGGCTAAATGTTACGTATTTTTAACATACCTGTGTAGAGTCTTCGGAACAAGCACCTGAGTCCCTCAGGTCCTGACTGGGGATGGGGTGAGCCTGCCTCAGTCAAGTGGTGTTTTTGTTTCACAAACATTCCCTTCCCCATCCACAAAAGTATTCTTGTGATTTTTTTTTTCTTCCACCAAAATAAGGCACAGGATTTGTCTCTGACGCTGTGTCTCCCTATTTGGACGACAAGCTGTGTAACATATTTCTACCCAGCGTGAAGCTTCTTGGCAGACTCTTGAGGCCACGTTTTGGTGGCTTCAGAGTTATCTTTGGATCTGTCAAAAGTGCTAATGGGCTTTCTGGCCTTCTTTAAGCTCTTCATTTCTATTTTCTTTTTACTTCCATCCTCTCCTAAAAGAAAAATTCATGTAATTCATCAGCAGTTAAGCTTTTACTGAAATGCTCAGCTGAGGGCCTCGTATTTGTGTTTGTGAGAGGAGCTCTGCCATGTCACTGCCTCCTGAACAACCCCACCCTGACATCATTAGCGCAGCGTGCCTGGGCCCACCCTTGCAGAGGGGCGCCTCTTGCCTAACTCAGGCTCCCTGGCGTTTGTTTTGTTTCTTGTTGAGGGTTTCGAGTAAGTTGGCATGGTGGTTAGGGTCTGAGTTTTAGATTCAGGGAACCTGGTTTTGAAACTCGGCTCTGCCCTTTTTATCTAGCAGCCTACTGAACCTTCCTGAGCCTCAGTTTTCACATCTATAAAGTGCACATTTTTATGCCTATCTCAGGAGTGTTAGGAAGATTAGAAAGAACCCAAGTACCCCTGCTAGGTACATAAAGATTACTCAATAAATGGGCAACACTAATTTTCAAAAGAAATAAATCTACCTTTCTTTAGATGTACTTTGATCTTGTTACTGTGCTGAGACTTTTTTTTTCCAAATATGATTTTCACCTGTAAGTTAGTGGTAAAAAAGGAGAGCACAGAGTAAATCATGTCTGATCCACTCACTATATGATTTTTGTCAAATTATATGATCCTTCTCTATCTCTATTTTCTCTTCTTTAAATAGGGATAATAATACCTAGTTCAAGGAGTAGTTTCAGATTGAGTGAAAAAATATATTTAAATCCCAGTACATGGTAAATACAAAAAGATATTAAAGGAGTACAAGGTAGGGAAGGGGAAAGTGTATAGGCTGTGAATTCACATCTGTTTCTTCCATCACGGAATCTCTTCCAGACTTAATTTCTCTATTTCTATGTTGGAAGGAATAATACCTGATTGGAGTTCTATGATTGCATAAGGTTACACATTCAAAGTATCTGGTATAGTAACTGCACTTGGTAACTACACAGTGTGTGAAGCTAGTAATTCACTTACTCTGTATTTATAAACGTTGATAGTTAACTGTGTACTCCAATCAAAGAATAATAAATCATAAGATAAGTGCCCATTCTTATTCCCAACCCATAATATTGTTGAAAAGCACTTTATGCTATTTTGCATGTAAAATCTACCTGGTTTACTTCAATTTATGGGCTATAGATCCTTAATCATTATTAACCGCAACCCCTGGCAATAGCATTTCTTCCCACCCCAACCTCTTTCATTTGTAGAGAATTATATTGTGTAGCATTGAAAACCTGTAACATTCAAGAAATTAGCATATTCATGTATATTATTAAAGTCAGGTGGGTACAGAAAGGGTTATAGAAATGAAACGCTATTTTTTCTGAAATCTGAAGAGTACCAATCTATAGTACTAATTAAAGGAATGAAACCCAGGTTATAGAAAAATAAAGTCTAGTTAAAACACTGCTTTTTCACAACTTGCTATTTGTCTTTAGTTTTTTTTTTTTTTCTTTTGAATGAAATACCTGGAAATTGTACATCTTTGAAATTGCCGTAATTCTAAGCCATCCTAGGGAATGTAAGCTGTGGAGGGGGGACCTGAGCAGTGAGGACAGATGCATGCCTGTCTGTGGCAGCGGCTTACCCTGTGCCAGATGGGCTTCAGACCCTGGGGAAGGGTGTGCGTGTAACACTTGGGATTGAACCTAAGGCCTTTGTGCTGAGCTACATCCCGGCCCTTTTCATTTTGAGACCTGGTCTTACTGAATTGCCCAAACTCATTTGTAATTTATAATCCTCCTGCCTTAGACCCTCAGAATGCTGGGATTACAGGAATGTGCCACCATTGCCAGCTGGGTACTTGTTTTGCTTAGATACATGGAACTGTATATTGAGAAGGTTCTAGAGATTGGAGTGTGAAGATCTGAGCAACGATCTTGTCTTCATGGTTTTTTAGACCATTTCATCTGAGAAAATCTCTCTGAGTCTTGGTTTCTTCACTTGTAAGTTTGTGGATTTCCTTTCATTCTTTCTTTTCAGAACCGCCATGAAGAGTAAACACTGTGTGTGCACAGAACCTCATGATGTAAACTAATCACCACACAGACACAATTGCTCACACTGCTCATCTCCAAGGGTCTCTTCCAACTTTACATTTCCTGATTTTTTTTTTAATGAGACAGAGTGAGTGCTGGGATTATAGGCATGTGTCACCATGCCAAGCAATATTTCCTGATTTTACACGAGTGGGATTCAGTAGAAACATACGAGGAAGAGCATAGTATGCTTTCTGCTTATTTTCTGTTTCTTATGTAGGTTCTAATTGTAATAAGAACAATCAGAGTAAGACACAAACCTTGCCCTATGCTTTCTCCTAGAGAAATCTGACAGAATATTTTGTGGCGGTGGATGTAAACAACATGCTGCATCTGTATGCCAGTATGCTGTACGAGCGCCGGATCCTCATCATCTGTAGCAAGCTCAGCACTGTGAGTAGAGTGTCTCAAAGTGGGCTTGTCAGTGACTGCATTTTAACCAAAGTACATGTCAACAAAATTAAAGAAGAAGTTAGGTAAAGGAATGAAAAGCAACCTCAATCCCATCATGCAATTACCCATCATTTTCATTAGTTATTTGTGTTGCTTTACAATGTCAAAGCATATTTCATTTATTTTTGTAATTCTGTAACTACAGTTTTTCTGTTGATAGTGTGTTATGAACATTGTACATATTTCAATATAAGCTTTCATTATTGTCAGTTTTTAAATGGCTATAAAGTATTCCATTATTCTTGTTTAGTATATTTCATTTTATTTTCCTCTCTTAATGGTCATTTAGGTTACCTATAGATAAATTCTCAGATACATAGTACTGCAGTAAATATCTTTCAGCTTCTTTTGACTGATGCAATTCATAATCTAAGGAGAAGAACCTCCAGGTCAAAGAATCTGATAAACACCATGACTTGGCTGCCAGATCGCTTCCCCAAAAGGCTGTTCTTGTGAATGTTGCTAGATGTGTAGACTTTACCACTTTTGCTACAGCCTTGTCGGAATTTTGTGTGTGTGTGTGTGTTCATGCATATACCTTAATTTTACTAATAACAGAGATGGAAAATGGTACCACTGAGCTGTAACCAGAATGCCCAGACCAGACCGCCTTTTCTTTTTCAGTCCTACAGTTTGTCACATTTCCAAGTAAATCACAGATTTCAATATATTTTCTGCTAAATAATTGAATATCTGTTTTGCAAGGTTTGTTGCAAAAAATATATCCAAAAATTGCCTGGGAGTAGAATGTTTAAAACATATCACTTTATAACACTACAGAGGAGAAGCCTTTGTAGGGTTTTCCTAGTAAAGGGTCTATGGGTAAAATAGTTACTGTTCAACCAATGAATAAAAGACACCTAACATTGAAAACTTCCTAAGAGTATTAAAGTTTTCTTTACAGTTTTCATCATTGCTTCATTATTTTGTTTCTTGCTTGTCAAGAACTCACAGAGCCCTTGTTTCCCTTTGTACTCTAGTATATGTGCAGATTTAGCACATAATAGGTGATAAAAAGCATGTCCTTTGTCATCAAGGTTAAAAACTGCTCATAACACAATCAGTCTCTTGCTTTGTTTAACATTTTATTTTACATAAGTGGAGTTTTTTATCTCAGGATACAGACACTCAGGCTGAGCTTCAAAATGAGAGTATTCCTAACCATTTTTAGCATTGTCTGCTCTGTGGCTTACATAGAATGAGGGAACATTGAAAAGAAGCTAGCTGTTGCTTTGGGCCCTTAAAGTGCAACCAAATGAAAAGGGACATCATCTTGATAGGATTGAATTTCCTATAATTTAATCATGATGCTTTTGGGCTCTTAATTTATGCCAGTCACTATCCCAAGCACTTTGCATATATTAACTCATTTAGTCTTCACTATGATAGCTTTAATGGGTTCTGTTATTACTTCTCTCTTACAGATTAGAAAAGAGTGTTTCTTCTGTGTAATTTTGTTCACATAAATGTAGTGGGTTAAACATACAAAGTTATTTCTGTTCCTTTCCAAAACTAAAATGAAATATACCATAGGAATAAATTACAAACACAAAGAACAGATGCAGCATAGATTTTTAAAATAGTAAGAGAATACTGTTATCAACTTTATGCCAGTATTTGAAAACTAAAGCATAATGGGCTGAAAAATATAATTTACCATAATTGACTCAGAAAGAAATAGAAAAATTGAAAGTCATTTAATTTATAGAAATTAAATCAATACTTGAAAATATTTTCCAGATAAAACACGCAGCCAACATAGTTTTAAAGTTATGTTCTATCCAGCATGTTAAAGAATAGATCATTTCAGTCCTACACAAACTTGAGCCTACAACAAAAAGGGAGTACAATCCAGGTTTTCTTGAAATGCTTGTCAGCCATGACAGTCAATCACAAAAGGACATAATACAAGAAGAATTATCAATGTCACTCATGAATGTAGTCATAAAAATTATAGGCAAAATAGTTGCAATGTATTTAAAAATTCTTAATAGCTAAGTTGAATTGATTCTAGAAGTGTAAGATTGGTGATACTGGAAGGCCTATTAATACAGCTTACACATTATTAAAAGGAAAAATTCACATAGTCACCAATAAATGCAGAGCAAGCCTGTTTATGAATGGTAGACTTGATATCTTGAATATGTCCTTCATTCCAAACTGATCTATAGATGGGATGTAATTCCATTCACAATCTCAGTAAGGTTTACATAGTATCTGTCATCCTGATTCTAAACTTAACATGGAAAAGTCAAAGAAAATCAAGACATACTTCAAGAAAAACTAGAAGCTTACCTTACCAGACATCAAAACTTCTTATTAAGCTGCAGTAATTAAGTTCTGCTAGTGCAGCAGAGATAGGTAGACTGATAGAGTCTGCAGGATCCGAACACATCTGTATGGGCTCCTTAGAAGCAATAGAAGAGGCACTGGACCATCTGTGGGAAATGGATGGGCATTTCAGTAATTGACTATGCATATAAAAAGAAGACAATTTCTTTCTTACTCATGCAAATGTGAAAGGCAAAATTTTTAAATTTTTGGAAGACAAAAGTAAGTAAATAGTTCTCTGTGATCTTGGAGTAAAGAAGTATTTATTTAAAGATGATTCAAATTATACATTGTACAAAGGAAAAGATTAAAATTTAAATTATAAACTTGTGTTCATTAAAAATGTCATTCTGAGACTGGAAAGACAGCAAAAACAGAAGATAATTGCCATATATAAAGCAGAGACAAAAAAAAAAGAGGCATAGTAGTCAGAAATACATGAATGCCACATTTAGGAAGCAGAAGACTTATCAATAGAAAAAATTGGCAAAACATGTGAATTGGCATTTCGTACAAAAAATACAAATGGCTATATATAGGAAAAAGTTCAACACTAGTAATTGTAGAAAAGTGCATTAAAAACTACAGTGAGTTAAACAGTGGGTACACACCTGTAATCTCACTACTCTGGGAGGCTGAGGCAGGAGGAATGCAGAGTCTGAACTCAACTGAGGCAGCTTAGCAGTGAAAGGGAGACCCTGTCTCAAAAAAAAAAAAAAAAAAAAATTCTAGACTAGGGATAGAGCTCGGTGATCCTGAGTACCACCAAACAAAATATAAAACAAAAATTAGCTGCATCAGATTTGTAAAAGTGAGGGTGTCTGACAAAGATAAACATACTGTAGACATGTTAGAGAATTCTGTGGACTACTAGTATGGTATGTAGTACAAAACTGCATGCACATGCCTGTTGTTGATCACGTCCATTCTTCCATGGGATTTCATGTACACTCACCGGACAGACACCTACAAGAATGTTCCGAGAAGCATGTTTTAAAAACCTGGGTATAATCCACATTACTATAAACTGCAGTATAGTCATATAGTAGAATATAGAATCAGTGAAAAATAACTACATTATTATATGACTTTTGTCTGTAGCACAAAATGCTGAGTAAAAGAAACAAGTTATAGAATACACAGTGCCATTTCATAAATATAATAGTCAAGTTAGAAAAACTAAATGATACAAATTGTTAAAAAGAAAAATGATTAATACAAAATTTAGGTAGTTGTTTCTACCCAGGAAAAGAGTACATGTGGGAATAGACATACAGAGGATATCAAAGGTGTTGCTTTTGGAGGAGGTGTTGCTTTGTTTTGGTTTGAGATATTTTTGTTTTTGTATTTTTGGTGAGAGTGGTTGTTGAACCCAAGGCCTTCACAATGAGCTATATCCTCAGCCCTTTTTAAAATTTACTTTGAGTAATTTGAGTCTCTCTGAGCTGGGTTAGAGATAATCATCTCTAAAGGATCCAATTATAAATACGGCTTTGTAGGCAATATGGTACTTGCTGTAACTATTAGACTCTGTCCTTGTGGCTTACAGTGAGTATGCACAGCCACGTTCAGCAAAGCTTTATATACAAAAGCAGGCAGAAGGCCACACTTGGCCTTTTCATACGTTTTGCTTACCCTTTAACTAGGCAGTAGGTTTTAGATTCTTAGGTTTTCTTCTTTAAAAGTTGCTATATGATTTACATATTTGTATGTGTATTTATATCAAAATGTTTAATAAAAAAATACCAGATTCCTTTATCAGGTAAATTTAGACTATCAGAGGTAGAGACAAAGTAACTCTTACACAAAGATTAAGAACAAGACAATGAACTTGTGTCTTGGACTTCTAAGGGAAAGTGATTTCTAACCTAAAATTTTGTACCTATTAGAAGCCCTCAGAAATGAGAACTGGCAGCTCCTACACATCTGTCAACCTCCTGACTTCTTTTCTCTGAGCTCTGCCTTCCCTGTGGGGATGAATTGCATGTTTACCCTAGAGCCAGTCAACCACTGTGCTTATCTTTTTGCCTTTGTCCTAGAATATTTATTGACATTGTCATTGGCATATAGAGATACAATGGTGGACAAAATAGACAAAAATCTCTGCCTCAGGAAACCTGTATTCTAGTAGGTAGATCCTCAGTAAGCAAGGCAAGTGAAATGTGAATGTACAGTAGCTACTGATAATTACTAAGGAGTAAAGTCAAGTGGATGTGAGGGGGGAAGTGATTGGTAAGGTCACAGGGATTGCCATGCTGTTTTTAAGGCAGGAGATGCCTTGTCGAGAACATGACATTTCTGCTTCCTTCTTGCTTTAGCACTAAGCTTTTCTCTTCTCTATTTGTGCCAGGCAAGTACTCAACCGTGGGACTACACCCTCATTCCCCCATCCCATTTGTATTCTCTCTTTTAGAATAGAGTTCGAGAGAGTTATCCTTTTGCCATCTCATTCCTTTCCTTAAGGAGACATCAGTTTTATGCAAGCCTTTGGACCTCTCCAAATTCAGAATTATGAAGTTTTCCAATTGTTGCCTTTTATTTCCTCAATAGGAGGTTTTCATCGCCTCTTTTAGCGGTAGAAAGGGAGATGCAAAAGCTATTTCAGCCCA